AAGATAGAGCTAGGCAAATTTTATAACTTTAAATAAGGCTTCATTTTCACTTGTTTATATATTGTCAATCAATCTATTATTCAAATTTTGATATACTAATCTCATCAGAGTTACTACCTTCTATAAAAATTAATGTTGGCTCTTTTCAATAAATGTTTTTATGTCACTTAATATTTAAAATATTAAATTGCATAAAATTTAAGATAATATTTCATCTAGAAATGAGTAAAGGTTAAATTCTGTATCCATATAATGTTTCTCAAGAATTTACTAATTATGAGAGGAAAGCGATTCTATGAAGGCTTCTAAAGGTAGTTCAAATTGTACTATTTCAATATTCTAAATTTATTAAGGATCAGGTAGAATGAAATTATAAGGAGAATAACATAATGGGCATTAATAATATTCATCCTTTTGCTTTTAATCAAACATTTATTTTTCTAAGCATTTCAAATGGAAGATATGATTACAATTAGAAACGCTGACAGATAAGATATCCATATGTGTCTTAGATGATACTTCTATAATTTTTAATTGTGACAATATGTTTGAGTACTAGATTAATATAGGCTAATAATGAAGATCATTATTTTCAAATGCTAGCTTACATAATAAACAAATTTCATCTGAATCTTTTGAAAAATCTTCATTTGTAATATTGTTTTAGAAATTGTCTACCATTAGATTGAATTTTTTTTTTAATTATTCTTTATTATTTTAGTGATTTTATTTGGATTTATTTTCTGTTACCTATTACTCTTTTTAGTTCAAATTCTGAGTGACGCTTTAGTTTTGAAATCTTGAACAATAAACTTGGAAAAATTACTTTTATGTGTGATTTACTTTATCCAACAGAATAAAAACTTAACTATAATGCTAAATTTTATCTACTAGATGCTATATTTTGGCATTATTAGAACTAAACATTTAATCAGATAAATATAATAAATTAATGTAAATAGCATTCTCTTATAAAATTTTTAATGATGCATCTAGTTATTTAATAAAACCTGTGTTGGATTATAAAGTATTCTCTAAATCTTTTAGAATTATTTCCAGTAAGTATTAATTCTAATCTTAAGAAATTGCTTTTAGAATTTCATATCTAATATTAGTCAGTGTTGATTTTGGTGTACCATAATATTTCAGTTCGTATTCTAATGATGATCCAAATAACTCAACAAATTTATCATTCTACATTTGCAATTAATCATTAATCTTCTCCTTGATATTTTCATTATAAGCAGCATATATTGGTTCATAAATATGCAATTTTAATTCCTTTTTCAACTAAAGCTATCCATTATCCTAGTTAATTTCACAAGAACTCAAAATTAAGGTTTCTAAGTCTATTTTATTTTCATATCTGAATTCTTTAAGAAGAGTCCTCATTTCATTTAAGTTATAAAATGTTTAAGTGTAAAACACTGTTTAAAATAATTTAGCCAAACCTTTCTAAAATTATTCATTAAATTAATTTCCAGTAATGCTTCCAACACATTAAATATAGTCGTAATCTGTTTAAGCAATTTTGCAAATTAAGAAAGATAAATTTATTTTCTATTTTAGATGTTGTTATATTTCAATGCAACCTTAAATAATGTGATTTATTCCCTAATCTTGAAACATAAAAGCATAGAGTTGTATGTATGTAACATCTACTTATTGAAGCGATACCTCATTTTCTAAATTTTTCCAATAGTCCTAATCTCCCTTATAATATTCAAAGCTTTCAGGAGATTAAAAAATTATATAATTTAACAAAGTCCGTTTTAATATTTGATGCATTATTTAATTGAACTAGGACTTAGCTAATCCACTCAACTCTAGGACATTATTATATGCATCTTATGAATTCGAATAATTAAGTAAATATATTGCCAATACAATAATAAAATTTCGATCATTCAAGACATAATTAAATGCTATCAATTGTATTGGACATGAGTTTTTTAATACAAAAGAACTTACTAAATTATTAAGGAAATAATTCAAAATTATTCTCAAAATATTCTAAACATCGAAGGAATGTAAATGATCAAATGTTAATAGAATTGATTTTAAATCATATCTAAAAGAGGATAACATTTTTTAAGATATAATTAATGAGTAATTAAGACACATTTCTTTTTATTGAATATCTGAGGGATAATATAAAACACAGCTTTTCAATTGCTAACATGGGTGTCTCCTTGTTAATGAATAAATTAATAAAGATTCATTTAATAGTTTCTAAAATGCATTTGAATTTGGATTTAATAATTAAAATTTAAAAGCACTAAAGTCTTCTTCGAGAATCTCTTGAATTTAATTAATTTGCCCATTGATGGCTTTTTTACATTTAGCCATTAACTCTATTCCATAACTATAAGAGCTGCATATCTTTAGTGATTCAAATTCAATCAAAGGTCTAAATTAATAATAATAATTACATTTCTAATATCAAATCTGAGACTATTTTAAATAGTTAATAGTGTACAGGGCTTTGGACTGTTTTGTATAACCTCAACATTTCGATATAACCTCTTTGCATAAATAAAAAAAATTTTTGAATAATTGCTCCTTATATAAGAGAATTCTTAGATTTTATTTCTTCAATTTAGCTACAAGCAAGTATTTTTTCTACCAAAACAGCTAATTTTTAATCTTTAGTATCCTTATATATCTGAAATGTCAATTCTTTATTCTTATTAGTAATTAATTCGTATGAACAAACTAGAGCATAAAAGTTCTTAAAATTTTAAATTACGCAAGTTGAAAGGCGAGTTCTGAAATCTTCATCTTAAAAGAAAAGAGGAAAAAATGTTGAAATATCCTATTCAAATTTAAGACAGCCTTCTAAACGGGCATTATTTTAAAGATATTACTCCAAGAGTGATGTTGATTTAAATTATTGTTTGTTGATTAAAATTTGAAATTCTTGTTTTAAAATTTTGCCTGTTAAATAGCCCCATATTATATTATCATTTGTTATTATTTACAAAGTTCTAAATATTAAACTGTGAATTTTTTTAGCTTCACTAATAGAATCTTTAATAGAGACAAAATAAATATTATTAGAATTAAAATAAATGTCCAAAATTTCATTTTTTAAATGTTTTATTATGTTTTCTATATTCTCCAAAAGATCATCAGGATAATCAATAAATTACGCTAATTTTTTATAGAATAATCCAAAAGCATCCAATAGAAATTTTTCATATTTTTTAAAAACTGGATTTTCTATGATTATATTTTTTTTTACTTTCTATTTATTTATTTTCGACCTTCATCTCTTTCTAAAGATGTTTTGGGCACATCGAGTTCCTATCAAGCATAAATGTATCACCGCAATCACAATATCCTTGCATTAAAGATGACATTTACACTATTTGAACAGCATGATCTTTAATATTTTTGGAACATACTTTTATGAATTTCAGGAATAAAGCATTCCTTGCAAATTATATGGCTTGTATCTTTACTGCAATCAAAGCATTAGTAGGAAAGTTCTAATTCATTAATTCTATTTGCACATAATGATTTTGTTCCAACATCTCTAAAACATATTATTGCGCTTTAGTATTCCTCTTAGTTGATATTTAAGGCTTATAAAATTAAATCTTCATCCTTCAAATTATCACTTTCATTAGAAATTTTTAAAATATGATCTTCTGCATTACAATTATTCATCTTTTTTTATTTTTGATTTCTTTAATATTATTATCATAATAATTTTATACAATGTTTTCTCAAAAGGTGTTTTATATGAATTTGATGTTCAAAGATTAAGATAATAAAATTAAGAAGCTACAGATAAATTAATGTGAAAAGGAAAATAAAAAGATAGTAGTTATCCTTCATATTGTCAATCTTGAAAGAATGATTTAAAAATTAATTAACTACGGTTCCTTTTATGTTGCGCGTATTTTACAACAAGGAGGGAAATATATAAAGTGCAGAATAACTGAATATATGTAAAAGATGATAATTTGAAAATGAAGGTACTTTACATTTTTAACTTATCTTAGAATATCATTTACTCATTAATTCTATAATTACCCTTTAATTTAGAGCATTTAATTTCTTTTCACAGCTTCCATAAATATTTCCTTCAATGTTTTAACCTGAGCTTCTAATATTCTTGATGTGCAACAATCTAAATAATTTAAAATGACTAATGCGTCTAAAGTTCCACTTTTCCAATTGATGTTATTTTCTTCCGAATGTTCTTCTAATTGGCATAGCTTCTCTACGAATTAGTTGAAATGTTGATTGTGTTGGTCTTTAAAGCTATTTTATTGTTATTTTGCAAGTTGAATAGATGCTATTTTTACTTCTTTTTCTAAATCTAAGTGATTAAAAATATTAAGAAATTTTAAGATATTATTTAATTTAACCGACCTTTCCTCTAGCTTTTTTGGCTTATGACATTCAATATCATAGTCAAGTGCTAAATTGATAAGTTCAAATGCTTTTTGATTCATTAATCGAATTCCGTCAAAATTTGATTGATCCGTATATATTTTTTGAACTATCTCCATAACTTGTTAATCTCTACTCTCATTAATGCTTTCTGTATTCGGCAAATATATTTCATAAAAAATCTATTGAATAGCTGCGCAAATAATAATATAAATGCTAATGGATTGCTTTATAATAGATGGATTGCTCTTCTTAAAATTCTAATAGTTCAGACATAATTTTATTTATTTGACCATTATCCTTTTATAATTATTTATTTCTTAATTATTATTATTATACTATTTAATGTAATGAAGGCAATTCTTGTTTGAGTTTTATAATTTTTTCTTGAATTTATTTTAATTCTTCTGTTTTTTGCGATATCTCTAATGACTCTGATTAATCCATTAATTATGTTACTTAGAGCTCTTTCTCAATCATACTTACACTCTCTTAAATTTTTTCTAAGATTTATTAATCCTACAAAGGTTGCGCTAAGGATGAAATTTCTAATCTTAATAATTTAATATTATTTTCAATTTCTTAGATATCCATTATATGTTCTACAGATTAATTTTTTTATTTTGTAATCTGACAAAAATCTGTGCTATTTGGTTAGTTTTGTTATAAAGAATAAAGTTATTCTAAAACTTAAGATATAAAAGGATTATCTGGTTACAAATGATTTGCTCTAAGATAATCACTAAGTCCAAAGTTATATTAACCCCTATTGATATATATTACTCCTGTTTGATATTTAATATTTATTACCTCTATTACAATAAGACCTAACGTCATTTGGATCCAATTTAATAGCCATACTGAAATCGAGGATTGCTTACTCATTATTTCCCAATTCATGGTATAGGACACCTAAATGGAGATTACATTAATTACCTCTATTATAATAATTAATAGCTTTCAATGGATCTAATTAAATAGCCAGGCTATAATCATCAAGCGCAAATTATTTATTTCCAATTTCGAAATAAATAGATCCTATTCAGATAAATAGATTGATTACCCCTGCTCATATAGGCAAGAGCATACTTAGAATCCAATTGAATGGAAATTGATAAATCTAAAAGTGCTTATTCTTTATTTCCCAAACTTTCATAAAGTACCCCTAATTGAAATATCATATTTATAACCTCTTTTATAATAAAATTTAGAATTTTTTGAATCCAAAAAAATTGCATTGTTATAATCTACAAGTGCAAATTCTTTTTTCCCCAATTCATCATATAATAATCCTACTCATTTATAAGTAATGCTACCTCTATTAATATAAGCAAAACTATTTAGAGGGTCCAGTTCAATAGATTTGTTATAATCAATCAATGATTTTTCTTTGTTTCCCATGAAATTATTTAGAATTCCTTTTATGAACCTTAAGATACCTCTGTTGATATAGGTTATAGCTTCCATGGGATTTAAAATTAATGCCTAATTATAATCAAGAAGTGCTTTTTCTTGATTACCCATATCCTTATGTAGAATTCCTATTTTTATAATTTGTTGATTACCTCTGTTACAATAGGCTTTCTCATCATTTGGATTTAATTGAATTACTTTGTCATAATCTAAAAGTGCTAAATCTTTATTTCCCATCTCACCATACAAATTTCCTAACCCATAAATATTATTATTACCTCTGTTATAATAATATTTGGGATTCATAGGATCCAAATGAATTGCCTGAGTATAATTTAGGAGTGCCTGTTATATATTCCCTATATCTTAATAGAGAATTCCTTTACTCTAATTAATTTATACCCCTATTATAATAAATTTTAGGATCTGTAGCATCTAATTCAATAGCTTTGTCATAATCTAAGAGCGCCTAATCATAATTTTTCATTTCGTAATAAATAACTCCTATTCATTATAACTTATTTTTAACCTCTATTATAATAAAACATTGAGCTTGAAGGATCTAACTATATAGCTTTATTAAAATCAACGACTGCCTAATCTTTATTTCCAATATTTTTCTGAACAATTCCTATTTTATATAGATTTAAAAAACCTCTATTACAGTAGGTTCTAGAATGGGTAGGATCCAATAGAATAACCTAGTTATAATCTAAGAGTGCCTATTCTTTATTCCCCATCTCATTATTTTGAATTCCTTTTTATATTTATATTATTTACCTCTATGAAAATGGAATTTAGGATCCATGGGGTCCAATTCTATGGCTTTATTATAATCAAGTAGTGCTGATTCAACATTCCCCATATCATGATTTAAAACTCCTATTCAAAATAATAAATTTATCACCTCTATTATAATAAAATTCAGCATTCTTAGGATCAATTTAAATAACAGTCGTATAATCCTTGAGTGCCTATTATTTTTAGCCTATTTGAATACATATTTCCCCTTTTTTTATATATAGATAAAGTTACCTCTCTTTATATAAGCATAACAACATTTTTCATCCACTTCTATTGCCTTATTGTAGTATTTCAAAGCCTCATAAACCTATCCTTATTCATGCTTTAGGTTTCCTAAAGATATAAAACTCTTTACCTATTCTCATGTAAGCTAATCCATAATTAGGATTAATTTGTATGGCTTTTTCACAATCTTCTTATGATTCTTAAAACATTTTCTTTCTCTAAAATACAGTGGCTGATTTAATTAAAACTATTTTACCTCGGTTGTAAAGTGTTACTTCATTCAATGACCCCAATTCAATAGCTTAATTTAAATCATTTAATGCTTAATCATTTAAATTTTCTTTTAAGAATAACTCCCCTTAAGTTAGAAAATTAAAAGAACCTCTGATAGTTAATGCTTAGCTATTTGAAGGGAAAAGATGTAAGAAATCATTTATAATTTATAAAGCATCCTAAGTCGATTGCTCTTTTAGCTTAATCTAAGGAAAAAGAATATTATTAGAGTTTACGAGGGTTGCTTAAAATAATTCTTAAATCTTTTGCTCTTTTATGCAATGCTTGTGTTCTCTTTATGATTATTGAGTGTTATTTGATTACATTGGGAATACTCAAATAATATATTCTTATATATTTTAGGGTGATTTAATATCAGATATATCTTATGTTCTCTTATAAAATCAAAGTTTCTTATTTGCCCAATTGATATCAATTTATGTTTTGTTTTTATTATCAAATTACAATTCACATAAAAAATAGAATTATTCAATTTAAGAATTTGTATCTTTGCCTTCTTTATGCATTGATTTGGGAACAGTTTAAGTTTGGAACAGTAAATCAAAAGTAGGAAAGAGTACTCAAAGTTGAGAAACAGTCACTCACATTCATATAAAAAAACTAGTTAATTGGAAGTGTAAAGGATCGTAATTATAAGGTGTTAGTTGATATTGAAGTTCCTTCCTTACCACCAGGTAATAAAACAGGATCAAAAAAAAAGTTGAATATCTATCGAACTCTAAACTTGTTTAAAATCCACTATTATAATTTTCAAGATCGCCCCAAAATACAATCAAATAGAGAGTTTTAGATCATAATAATAAAATTAGGACTCTTATACATAATTCTTTTAAGATTAGTAGATTAAATTTTTGAACAATCCAAGTAACTTTTTTATTTGAATTTTAGATTTGATTGATATTGTTTAATTGGAAAATAAAAATTTATTGTAGTGATATATATCTTATATATATATTTCATTTTAAATGACATACTCCAAATGCGCCCCATGTAAATAGTGGATTAGAA